GATGACTCCAAATCTCGCATAATTTTAAGAAACCTGGTCCTCGGTACGCGGAAACGTCGAAGAAAATGTTTTTCATCATAGGTCGGCGTTTCGCTGAAGTAGTCATCAAACAATTTCTGATGACCGGAACGGAAATTACGATCCACATTAGGGCGTCTTCCAGGACGCGAGCCTTTCCGTTTTAGGTTATGATTTTCTGCTGCCAAATCACAAGAAATATATGATTATTATTAGGTATGATTCAATCAATGAATTTGCGGCTCACCTTCAGCCAAACGAAAAAGCAAATATTCTTCATTATCTTCCGATAGCGAGACACTGCTGGCAGTAAAGATTACTTGGTCAAACCAATCCATCTTTTGAAAACAAATATTTGAATCCGGATTCAAAAACTCTGCCCCACTCGAAAATGGTTGAATGTTTGACAGTTAAGAAAAAAAAATACATCACCGTTGCATAAACATCAATGCTGATCTATTTTGGCTGGTTCTACCGAGGGGGACGACTCTATCTACGATGCAAAAAAGATTGTGTTTTGCTGTGGCTAGCTGCGCGCACGCTGAGTAGATAGAAAGAAGATTGATGACGATTCTGAAGATTTCCTGCAAAAAATTGATGAGCGATGCAAGTAGATGCGACAAATGAAAGAAGATTGTTCGAAGATTGATTCGCTAGTGTGAGATTTGTTGAGCATCTAAACTTGAGATTTAGATGTGTCGCCCCCCTCGGGTTCTACTTAGTTTTCACTGTTCCAAATCCAGTATAAAGTTGGTCCAAAAATAGACCACCGCTGAAGACTCCCTAAATGATATTACGTCATTTTTAGGTTTTTTATTTGTTATTGTGGCCAAAATCGAGACCCAAAGGTATTCGATTTTGGCAACACGATTTTTTTTAGATAATCATAAATGGCTTTTTTCCAAAAATTTTCAACACTCCACTTAGGATTGATTCTTATTGTTAAGCCATTTTAGCACTCAATTGTGACATGTCAAAAAAATCTCAACTTTGACAACATAGATGAAACAGACTTGTTGCCAAAATCGAGATCCATCTGTACTCTGAGAACTTTCAAAACAGAATTTCAAGATCTTCTTGGTGACCTGAAACCCTCAGAACGCTTTTAAACTCCAAGAAATTCTAGAGCTCTATAACTGCAAGAATTTTCAGAACTGCCAGGATCTGCTGGAGCTCCAATGAATCTTAGAAGTCTTTGGAATATTCTAGAAGTTATAATATGTACTGTAAGATCTTTCAAAATTTAAATCACTACATGACTTATAGCAGCGTTTCTCAATCTATGGGTCGCGACCCACTGGTGGGTCGTGGGCTGTGATTTGGTGGGTCACAGAAACTCAGGAAACTTGGTCTTGTGTTTTCGAAATTGAGTTAATAAGCTAGAAAAAATGGCTTAAATTTCAAACTATTTAAATAAGAGAATTTTGCGACTTTTGGGCTATTTTGGCATTTTTAAGATTGTTTTAAAACTATCGCCGAAACAAAAATATTTGAGGTAAATTTAAACGTAAACTCAGTTTGTTCTGGCCACAAACATAATTTAGGTTGATTTCAAACGTATTCCATGTTTGAAGTTATGTGAAATCAATGTTTAAAATAAAAATAATGTTACGTTTATTTCAAAAATATTCGTGTTGAAAATAAACGTATTTATTTTTGTTTGGTTTGACAGCTATACGAACAATAATAAGTATGTTTATTTTAAACATGCTTTTCATGTTTAAAATAAACATACATATTTTTAAATTATTTTAATAGTTGAGTGCAGGGTAAAGCAAAATAAAACGATTTGCAAAGAAATGAAAATAAAAAGATCTTCGGGCAGAGCATCTTAATTCCTGCTCTTTTTCGGGTGCGATTAAGGGTGACCTGTGGGTATTGGGGATGAGTGGACTCGTCGGGGTGGGTGTCAGTTCAGTGGAAGCGGTGCAAATTTGTGTTATTAACGTCGTTTTGATAACGGCGCCGGTGGTGTAGTGGTAAGCGTGATTACCTCTCACCCCAGCAGGCCTGGGTTCAATCCCAGTCGGCGCCGCCGGGATGTTCTGAGGCATAACATTTCTGATCACGCCTTCCTTCGGATGGGAAGTAAAGCCGTTGGTCCCCGGTTCATGAGTTGATGGGTCGATAGATAGGGTCCAGGTGTGGGAGCTGCCTTCCTGGCACGGCGGTAGCATTGGTGCTCAGCACGGAAAACAAGATCGACGGAAAAAACAAACCAAAGGAAAAAAAAAAAAAAACGTCGTTTTGCCGTTTCTGCCTCGGTTTCTGCCACTGTTCCTCATACCGGTTCATTTCTATGTTCGGTGTCGGAGGAGGATCCAGAATGGATTCGGAATGGATGATAGTTTTCTGTTGAGGTTGAACAAGGCTGGGGAAACTTTTGCCGAATGTAACAAGAAGGAAATAAAAACGCCTGACACGCTAAAAACCGTTTACCCAAATCCTATATTGTTGAAATAAACATGCGTTTGAATTTAATTCAAACATAAATATTTTCGTTTTAAACATGCTTTCAATTTACTTTGAATTATTCAGATGTTTAAAGAGTAAACATTTATATTTTTGCAAAATTTGTATCCGTGTTTTAGGGTCGTTTTGCAAATTTAAACCGAGAAAGTGTTTTTTCGAAAAATTTGATGTGTTAAAATCATTTTCGCGTTGACCATTTTGCTCAACATCAACAATGACATCAATCCTAGCTCTGAAGCAGTGCTGTAAATTCTCAAAATCATTTGAACATTTTTGATGAAAATGAGAAAAGTAGCTATTCGCTATCAAAGGGGACCTCCTCCGAATGGGTGATATCAGTTGCTTAGTCATTTGACGAAGGCATGGATCATTCTCATTTGAGAAACGCTATATATCATTCGATTGAGTGTAACCTACACACAAACGGAGCTCTGGTCGACATTCCGGCGAAAATGCTAAGCCAACCCGACACCAACCTGACTTCTATCAAACCCCAACCCGATGTTGACCCGACATTGACCCGACATTGACCCGACATAAACCCAAACTTGACCCGACATTAACACGACATTGGGTCGACATCGACCTTAAATTAGCCTTACATTGATCCGACATCGGGTCGACTTGTCTGTTCGGGATCATTTTCCTGGATTTTTTCCATACTCCACTGTCGTATATCAAATGATACTGAGTGACTCAATTGACAGTGATAATGAGCTTCGAATGAGAAAGGGGCTCTTCAAATTATGGTCATGTGAGAATTCGTTTACACAGAATTGATTGAATGGTTGTAGTGGTTCATCTTCAATCGAATGATATGAAAATTTACAGCACTGCTCTGAAGTTCAGGTTAGGAAAAAAGTTAGGTTAAAACAAAACGTCAGCTATTGTTGGTAAACAAACCGACAGCATTGTTGATAGCATTCCCCCATGCACTCAAAAATATAACTACCCATAAATCTAAAAACCCTACTACTGCGTGCACTTCCATTCTATTACCGAGAACCATGATTTTTCGATAAATTCCTTCCACGCTATTGGTCCTGACCTTTCGGTCCATGCTGGAAAGACTAGCTATTCTCTCAATAACTGGTGCAATGAGCAGCACACCAAGTATGGCACTAGATGCTCTGCTTTATCTGCTTCCGTCGCATCAATTTATTCAATTAGAAGCCGAAAGGAGTGCATTAAGGATCCAACGGTCACAGCACTTCCTTGAAGGTGCTCTTAGAGGACATATGAGCATCCTAAAATGTTCAATATTGATTCTCTTGTGATTCTCTTGTGAAACAAAATGTACAATGTAGCAGATCCGGATCGCGAATTGTGGGAAAATGGGGGACCAAACACTCGTCCAAGATCAATTGTCTTTTATACAGACGGCTCTAGATTGGATAATCGTGAAGGAGCAGGGTAACAGGTCTAGGAATAAATATCTCAATATCTATGGGCTACTGGCCTACCGTGTTCTAACCAGAAGTCCAAGCAATTCTTGAATGTTCAAAAATTTGCTTGCGTAGAAATTATAGACATCCGAATATCTGCATTATGTCTGATAGCCAAGCAGCACTGAATGCTTTGAAATCAACAGCATGTAATTCTAAACTTGTACGGGAATGTGCAATGTCACTAAAAAAATTGGCCTGCCACCAAGTGAACCTATTTTGGGTTTCTGGTCACTGCGGAATTCAAAGGAATGAGAAAGCCGACACACTAGCTAGACTTGGATCATCTCAACAATTCATAGGACCAGAACCATTCTGTGGATTTTCGCTTGCTGTTTTAGAATGGAGTTCAAGAAATGGGAAAAAATGAAAGTGGAGACCAATTGGAACAACACTCTCATTGCTAGGCAGTCGAAACGGTTTATTAATCCGAGCATTTCAATGACTAGCAAAATTCTTGAACTATCAAGGAAAGGTCTCAGTATGTACACTGGTTTAATAACAGGACACTGTCCATGTAAATGTCATTTTTTTCGTGATTTGTTTTTCATCGATCTTGTTTTCCGTGCTGATGTGCTCAAAAGGTTCCCGAGATTATATCCACCAGACTATGAATAAGGCGACCGTATGAGACACAGGTAGGGGAGGTGCTACTACTGTACCTTTCGACCAATTACAGTAATTGATGGTAAGCTCCCTTCTAGAGTTATGTACTTTAACTATTTTGTTTGTATTACTTCTGCGTGAAGTTAACGACTTACATAGTTGAAGATGCTAATTTCAAATAACAGACTACAGTGGTCATTCTTATACAATATATGTTTATCTTTAAAAAGCTCTTTTTCTTTATAGTTATGACCTTTAAGAAGAAGTTTCTTAGAACATATGGACTAAATTAGCACTATTTAGTAACAATAGGTTCAACCAAAATACATTACTCTATTTTAATTTCTTGAATTCAGTGGACACCATGGAATATAAAAAAAAAACTCATCTGTACGTATGTTCTTCTCTTATTTATTAAATCATCAAATAAAATATGTTAAAAGTGAAATATACTTTTGATTACAATTGGTTGTTTAAAATGACTCAATAAGCTGTTCGATAAGTTCATATTTTTCCATGTGGCAAGTCAAAGAATTATTTGCCAGTCCAAAAGGTCGATGTGCTCTCAATGTTACCAGCAAGTCATAAGACAATGTATCTTTTTCATTTTCTTCTGCAATCGATAAGTGCTTCCTCAACACAATCAGCTCATAGCTTCCGCAGCCATGGCTCCGCTCGGCTTGTCTCCTTATTAGATCTTCCTCCTTGCTGTCACACGACCAGAAGGTCTGAATAACGTGAACCTCTCGATCTTCTGCAATTGGTGGATCTGTTTCAATTGCCAGCACAGTTACCTCGTCGACTGCAATTTCGTCCGCGGAGAGATTCTCTCCATTCGACGCCGTTTTGATGGCTGTCACACTCAGATGCTTGAGATGCAATGCGAATTTACTTTGAAATGTCTGCATCTCCAGGGCACTTTTGAAGAAAACCAACACCGAGCAGTTTCTATCGATGGCCGCATTGATTGCTACCATTATAGAAATCATCCAATCCCATTCATAATTTGAATCAACACAAAGGAAGCCCTTCTTGGAATCAAATTGCGTCGAAATCGTGTCCAATGGGTTTCGTTTGGCAATTTTGTGATGGATTTTGTAGTGATCGCGAAGAGTAATTTCCTCGTAGCCATCTAGCGGAGCACTTGCGAAACCAAATACCAACGGAAAGCTCTTTAGCAGATGTTCATAAGGGAAGGGAATACATCCCATTGTCAGGTATCCATAATTTTTGTAGCCATTAACGGTCTGCTGAAAGTCTGATTTTTTCAATTTAAAGTAATTGAAGCATCTTGCCTGCTGATTTTTAACATCAAATTTATTTTTTACCATCATCACTCCACCGCTAGAAATTCGCAAATTGTTATCGTTGCTTTGTTTGTAACGAAAATATCTAAAATGATCGTTGAGAAGAGATTGGTTTGTGTGTTGTGTTCCATGAAATTGTTTGTCTTCATATACTGTATAAGTCTGAGGTCTAGCCAACCATGCTTGTAATTTGACGATTTCCGGATCTCTTGAACGCATTATGGACCTATATATTTGATCCTCTTCATAGCGGCCCAAGGAGATCCTCTCCTCTTGTATCAGCCCTAATCCAGGAATGGTTGGCATGACAAATCGCTCAAACACCTGTCCCAAAGTACTTCTTCGAAGGAGGATATCAATATCATCAATTAGGAGAACGGATCGTTTATCATCAGGTGCATATTTCGGCCGATTATTTCCATTCATTTCCATACCGAGACACTCGTGTATATACGCGGCAAACTTGTCGTAAACTTTTTTGGATCGGTCCCTCGCCATATCGTCCACAGATCCGAAGGAAATGTCGGAGTGGATCGAAAAGCTCTTGAACACTTCAATTAAATGGATCGATTTTCTCCTGGCTAAATTGCTGTTATAACAAGCAATCAGGACCTTGTGTCCGTACAGAGCCAATAAGGCAGCGGTCAGCCCAAGAACACATTCTTTCCCCTGTTGGGTTGATATGTAGAGCAATCTATACAAATCATCATGGTTCGGATTTCGATCACCGAAAAGGCTGAGAATACAACTTATCTGCAGAGTGGAAGGTTTCACCAACTTCTCCGAACTGCTGCCGTTTTTGGAAACAATGAGAGACCATACTGCGCTCAATCCGGCGAGTACTTCTGGCAACTCGTGTTTGAACTTCGCTGTCCAACTCGTTGCCAGCTGTGGCCTTATTTTAAGCATCACATCCGAAACAATTTGTTCGATTCTGTTTTCACGTGGCAATTGGACAGTTTCCGTTATGAGCTTGTCGAATTGAGCGGAATATTTTTCGAAACCATTTGTCAAAAGCCCCTTCGATGTGCTGCCTTCGAAAAGATCGATCAATGGCTCTTTGGGCGTTTCCCCATGAGGAGGATCTATTGCTGCCGAGTCGTTCGTCGGTGACATTGGAATGCGATAATCTTCCAGTCTTCTCTCCTCGATCGCATGGGAAAATGATTCTCCAATCTTTTGCAAAAACTCTTCGAAACAGGAGTAGTCCGACTGTCTATTGAGGTAGAGGAGGGGATTTCTGATGGAGTCGATCATATTGATCATAGCACGCAGTTGATGCTTATCCGAAGGTAGCTTTCCTTCATAGCAACTTTGCTCTGCAGCTATTTTATCCAGCAACACTTGGATCGCTTTGAGTTGATAGTGCTTGGGAATCTCTTCGCCGTTATGCAACAGTTTGTACATCTTAACAAAACCTTCCGGATCCACAACTTTCAGGCACTCATGTTCGGTGTCTTTCCAACGGTTGTCTACCGGAACGACGAATTGGCCTCGAAGCAACGAATTCCTGCTTTCCGACGGAACAAGCTGTAGGTACCATTCAAGCGGAAGATCACTTAGGTCTTTCAGAAGTTGCTTAAACAGAATAGAAAATTCAGTCGATTCCTGCGATGTAACATTCTTATTCATGGCTTGACCGACGATTCGCTGAAGTGTGGCTTGAATTTGATCGCAATCGTTACCAAAATGTTCGCACAGGAACTTATCCAAGCAGCTGCTAATCATATCGTTGTACTCCAGTAAAACCGAAGCTACAGTGGTCCGATCGTGCTGAGACGATTTCATGTCTGCCAGCGATCTCAACGAATCGTGCGTGATTCTCCGGAGGCATTCCAATGTTTCGCTTTGAAAATCCTCAGATGCAATGAAGCTCACGTAGGATTTGAAGAAACACGAAAGCATTTGCAGTTTGTCGACATCAGCTTGTACCAGGTCCTTCATGCAGTCGTCCAAGAGGCACATCCATACGCGAACTGGTTCAGGAATCGCGTCCATGTTCTGGAACAGTTTGAATTCATACGGGAAGCGGCTTGTGCGGAAAGGTCCACCCGGTTCGAAATGATTTGCGAGCGCGGCAAGAATGTGGAGTTGCTGTCTGAGACATTCATTGTATGAATTATGGGACTCTTCCTGTAGGTTGGTTACCTCCCATCCAAGTGCCTCGCTATAGATGATTGCATTGTCAGCTTTGGTGTGCGCTCCAAGCTGCTCAGCAACTTCCTGCAAGCTCTTGCACATGTACAGGAAGATACGATTGGACAGTGGTTCGAAATCAGCAAGCTGCTCGTCATTGATGTCTCGTATTCTTGTCAGAAATTTGGAGAAGATCATCGGCACGGCAGCTTCAAATAGGGCATGGTTGAGTGTCGTCATATCAGAAAACATATTCATATCATCCGTGGAAACGTACAGAATGTGATCATCAGGTAGCTCTTTGAGTTTATCCAACAAGTTTGATGGACAAATGACTGCTAGCCGAGCTCGGTGGATAGTCAATGCTTTATGGATTGCAACATTAATGAACTCGTCTGATAATGAGGGATCGTTGATATGGTTAAGAAATGCATTCCGTTGGAGCAATTTGAGAGTCATTGTCACATAGTTGTCCAACGCTGACATGGTTTCCATTGATAAACGTGAAATATTAATCAAATCATGCTTAAAATTCATGTTCAGTGAATTACCATGCTTCTGTAACAGAATGCGCACGAGCATCACATCCCGTTTATGGTCAATGTATTTTCCTGATTCACCGGCAGGTTTATCAAGAATCATTTCCAGAACGCTCTTTGCCTTGTTGCATTCCTCCAGCTGTTCGTCCAGTAAAACTTTCACCACCTTCAAGTGCTTCAGAAGCATCCGCACTGCCTCCTCGAAATCGACAGCCCCGTCCAGGTCAACCGTTCCATCCATACTAACCTTAGCAATGTACCGTCTGTGCGACATCAGAAGACAATCTTCCCCGTTCAGCTTCCACAATTCATCACCCAGGTAAAACTCTCCCGAATACGGAAGACCACCATCGTCCAAATCTCGTCGCTCAATGAATTGCCGCCCGTCGTGATGAACGATTGTAGCCATTTTGGAATGGAGGCTCACTTTTTGGAAATCCACCGAACTCACATCACTTCCTGCGATGCTGCTTCTGTCAGCGGAATAGATTGACCACTCCGAATTTCTGTCGTCGGATAGTACTTCAATCGATATTTTGTCTTTCGGCATATCATCATCCGGCTCATCGAGCTGAAAGATGCTGTTCATTGCTGTCTGTTGGAATATGGAGAATTTAAATCATTGTTTTGAACGCTGCTTGGCACAAATAGAAAATTATCCACAATACTCACTGTGTGCAGTTTTCACTGGTACTAAATGGAGATGCTATGAACGTTCACTAAGGACGATAGCAATCAACTGCTACAAAAACTAATTTCAAATCTCGTGATAGGTACCTATTTTAGTTTCGCGTTTTGGTTGTTACTTTTTTCTACCCCAGAGCGCCTTGATGTGTACAGCACTCCAGAACTGAGTGGTGCGGAGAAACACGAAATGGTTGTCAAAAAGAATCCAACTGGTGCTGTCAAAAAGAATCCAACGATCTAGAGCTGCTAAAAGTGGTACTTTTCTTATACAATCCTCTTTGGCAGAGAAAGTATTGTGGTCAATGTTGAAAATATTGTCATTTCGGCATTTTTTTACTAATATTCTTCAACAAAAAACTTGCTCAAATACTCGGATGTAAACAATGTAACGAACGAACGAACCTGCACGAACTGCTGAAGGAAGAATGCAAACAAACTTTATAAGAGTCATGTGGGTAGGTGCACTCCCAACACCATGTACACGTTATTTATGGAGCAAATTGTGAACTTTCGACAGCATGTATATGCAAATTGTGAGCAGTGCATTAGCAAAACAATTTGTGATATCGGAAAATTTTCAAGTTGTTTCCTACTGACTTGCAAAACAAAAACGGCTATGTTCGCAGTACCCAGCTCCAGAAGAATAATTCGACAGTGAGCATGCATTAGGGCGTAAACGCGATGATCGATTCTCTTCGTCGATTTGCTGTTTTGTTAATAACTCAATAGAAATAACGTTTCTCGGTGCTTTTCATAGCCGCTTAACTGTAGCAATGCAACGGCACCGGTGGTGTAGTCACTCAAAAAAAAAATAGCACATATCTAATGGATGAAAACCATGTGAATTTCTCATAGTTTCCATGTGATCACATAGCTAAAAATCCCACCATAAAATCAATATGAGAATATTATGAGGCCGATGAAATTCATATGAAAAATCATGTAAACCTAACGTGATCGCATAAATGATATGTGAAATACAGAATTCTCAGAATTCCATTTATTTTGTGTATGGATGAAAATCATTTCGACAGTGAGCATGCATAAGCGCGTAAACGCGATGATCGATTCTCTTCGTCGCTTTTCTCTTTTGTTAATAACTCGCTAGATTTTACAACATGCTAACATGCATTTTGCTAACATGAAGCTTTAGTGTGATGATTTATTAACTAGAGAATGATCTTTAGAAGAGGGTAGGTGGATAGTTCCGTTAGAGTACGGCAGTATGAAAAATTGAATAGAAGTTGAAAATGAGCGAAGGGCCATTAATGCGACAGTTTTTGAAGATAGACGCACATTTTTGCCTAACCCGTACGATGTACGCGGGGACTTGAAGTATGTCTCCAAGTCCACAGGCCATACTTCAAGTCCCCGCGTACATCGTACGGGTTAGGCAAAAATTAATTATTTAACATTAAGAAAAAAAAATATATTCTTCAGATCGATCATTATGCATAGCTGAGATTTTTGTTTCTCATGGTTTTTGCATTCTAAATATTTTCTCATTGTTAAATTATCTAAAATAAAGTTATATCCAAGGATATATAGATTGAACATTGAAGATTATAAAAACAGAAACAAAATAATTGTAATATGGCGGAGGCATAAAAGTTGATTTTCATGGGCAATTTGTGAAAAAGTCATTTTGCTTTCAAGAAATCCTTAACAAATTCATAAGGTTTTGAAATGGCTTTTATATAGAAAACTTGTAGACTGAATTGTGTTTATCTAAAGGCATTTTGCTTGATCCTAACCCGTTCAGATTTATGGCAGCATTTATGGCGGCAATGTTGCCAACAAAATGTTAAACGTCAAAGTTTGTTTATTTTTCGATAGTTGCGCTGTGCGATTCAGTGTTCGTCCAGGCGATTCTCTCCCGATGGCTTGGAAGCAGTTACACCATAGAGGTAACTCTAAGACCAGAAGGTCCCGAAGATACGTGCTCAACTTTTTGGCTCAGCTCTGGTACTATCTTCGGTCCCAAGCTAATCGATTCACCCCTCGAAACATAGGAAAATCCACTAACCCCTCATTTTATCTGTCAAACTTTCAAAGAAAATCAAAACAAACATAGTGTAGTACTAGAATTTCGACTCGAATGGGATACGTTAATCGTTTGCTTGGGACCAATAGGCTAGTCAAGTAGTGAGCCAATTTAAAATCGTTAGTTTCGTATTGATTGTTGGTTACACCGAAAGTGATCACAACATTTCGCATTTCGCACAGCTGTAACCTCGATCATTCCCGAAAAGATCCCCTTCTTCCGGATGGTTCTGAAAGTGCACCATCAACCACTTTCACCGAATAAAATCGCGCAGCTATATATCGGAAACCAACTAGTGTCCGCTAACTGACAGTTTCTATGGGCGGAAAGAGATTTCGGATCGGAAAAAAGTCCGGTTCGGTTTTAGAGTTTGACAAAAAAAAAACGCGTGTTTATTGTTCGGACTTGTTGATACAATAATCTATAAAAAGGAAGAGGAAGTAGTATCTGACAGTTAGGTTGTCAGCAGTGTTCACGCGCCGAGGGATAAGTCAGTTGTAAAAATTACCTACACTAAACGTAAATTGCACCCTCATTACCCCTACTCAATTTATGTCTAATAGATTCAGTTTTTCTCTTAGTCGACGAAACTGACCCACAGGTAGCCCTTGGTCATTATGTCGGCTTCCTGTTGCTCCGTTGACACGTACCGTAAGTCAATCTGCCCCTGCTGAACCAAATCGCAGACGAACTGATGTTTAACATCGATGTGCTTAAGCCGACTTCTAGCCTTCGGCTCACAAACAATCCTTATTGTGCTTTGGTTATCCTCATAGTATGGAACAGCAGTGGTTATGTTGTACCCCAGCTCCTCCATCAGCCGCTTAAGCCACAATCCTTCGCATACAGCTGCACACAAGGCAACCAGTTCTGCCTCAGTCGACGACAATGATACTGATTGCTGCTTTCGCGTGCCCCAAACAACCGTACACCCAAACACCTTAAGAACATATCCGGTAACTGATCGTCGATCTACTACGTTGCTTGCCCAGTCAGCATCGCAGAATACTGCAAGCACAGGCGCCGCATTATCAGCTTCAAACTTCAGCCCTATATCCAACGAGCCCTTAACATACCGCAGTATGCGTTTCAAATGAGCCCAATGCTCATCGGTTGGACAGCTTTGAAATTGGCTGCAATAATTGACTGCCGCTAACAGATCAGGCCGAGTGGTAAGTGTAACATACATTAAAGGGTGATACGGTCAAAATTTGGTCAATATCAACTTGACGTATTTCTTTCAATTTTGCATTTAAAAAACCTGAACACCCCTCATTTTGAAGGTGTGTGTGTGTTCACTCTTCAGTTGTCAAAATGCCGTCCAAGCAAGAAGAGCAGCGTATCAAAATTTTGCTCGCGCATCGCGAAAATCCGAGCTACTCGCACGCAAAGTTGGCAAAATCGCTAAAAGTTGCCAAATCAACCGTTACAAATGTAATTAAAGTGTTTGGGGAACGTTTGTCGACAGCCAGGAAGTCTGGATCGGGGGGAAATCGAAAACCGGAAGCCGCTGAGACGACAAAGAGAGTTGCCGGTAGTTTCAAGCGAAACCCTAACCTCTCTCTCCGAGATGCCGCAAATAAGCTGGGTGTATCGTCTAAAACCGTGCATCGAGCCAAAAAACGAGCCGGACTATCGACTTACAAGAAGGTAGTGACTCCAAATCGCGATGATAAACAAAATACGACGGCCAAAGCGCGATCCCGGAGGCTGTACACGACGATGCTGACGAAGTTTGACTGCGTGGTAATGGACGACGAAACCTACGTCAAAGCCGACTACAAGCAGCTTCCGGGACAGGAGTTTTATACGGCAAAAGGAAGGGGAAAGGTAGCAGATGTTTTCAAGCACATGAAACTGTCAAAGTTCGCAAAGAAATATCTGGTTTGGCAAGCCATCTGTACCTGTGGCTTGAAAAGCAGCATTTTTATAGCTTCCGGGACTGTCAACCAAGAAATTTACGTGAAAGAGTGTTTGAATAAACGTCTGCTGCCTTTCCTGAAGAAACACGGTTGTTCCGTACTGTTTTGGCCGGATTTGGCATCTTGCCATTACGGTAAAAAGGCCATGGAGTGGTACGCCGCCAACAACGTGCAGGTGGTTCCCAAGGACAAGAACCCTCCCAACACGCCAGAGCTCCGCCCAATTGAGAAATACTGGGCTATTGTCAAGCGGAACCTAAAGAAGACCAAAAAACTGCTAAGGGCGAGCAGCAGTTCAAGGCAAACTGGCTTTCTGCGGCGAAGAAGGTGGACAAGGTGGCTGTACAAAATCTGATGGCAGGGGTCAAGCGTAAGGCCCGGCAATTCGGATTTGGAAAAGCGGAAGCCTAACTGAATATTTTTCCTGAATTTTATACTAATTGAACTTGAAAAAGAAATTTAATTTGATTTTTTAAATAAACGATTTCACCGATTTACACGCGTTTTCCCTTGACCAAATTTTGACCGTATCACCCTTTAAACAGCCCACCAACTCGCGGTACGGCTTGGAAGTACGCTTCAATTCATCACCTTTCTGCAGTCGAAGACGGCACTCCATCGGAACAGAAATCGGTTTGCACTCAGACATTTTGAAGCTTGCTAACAGGGTCTCCAAATATCTGCGCTGGCTGATTCGCATGATTCTCTGATCGATGTCCCTCTCAATTTTCATTCCGAGAAAACAGGATACCTCCTTCGAATCCGTCATTTGAAACTCCTTCGACAAACAGCTCTTGATGACCTTGATCTGCTTCAAGTCGTGACCGATAATCAATATGTCGTCTACATATAATAGCAAAAACACCATCTTGCTACCTTGGCTTCTGTAGTAGAGACACGAATCATTCTTGCTATGCTGGAAACCGAGTTTGGTGATGAAACTGTCAAACTTGTCATTCCAGACCTTTGAGGCCTGTTTGAGGCCATAAAGTGTCTTCCTCAAACGGCATACTAATCCTCCTCCTACTTCGTAGCCTTCGGGTTGCGACATATAGATTTCCTCTGCAAGATCTCCATTGAGGAAAGCCGATTGAACATCCATTTGATGGATATGCATCCGTTCTTTGTTCGCCACAGCTAACAAGGCTCTCAGTGTGTCTACTCTAGCACCCGGGGAATAAGTTTCAG